GTGTGGAGCTAAAAGAAAATAAATGTTTGGATAAAAACTACTCCATTCGTCGACTGATGTCTTCAAGCTGCAATCATAATCTTTTCTTAACCCTCCTCCTTCACGACTGGACCAAAATGCGTGACTACTGTCTCCAACCACCAGTCAGAGAAGAACAGACACAGAGGAGGGAAACAGCGACACAGACAGAGGTACAGTAAAAGAAAAAAACTCAATAAGCAGGGTTTGTACATTTTATGATCAGCTGAGCTGTGCTGAAAAGAAAAAATACCGTCAAATACGTGAAACCGGTGAAAATGTTGAAAAAAAACGTAATATAAAATTTTGATCATATCGCCCAGCTCTATGTCCTAAAAACCAAAACAGCAAAGAAGCTGTTTCTGTCCTGATCCTGTCACTATCAGAAAATGTAAATTTTGTCAAAAGAAAGTTACAATAGCTGAGGAGGGGGGAAAAAAAAGCTAAATATTGTATATTCTTTTTCTGCATTTCAACTTTTTTTTATTATTGTTATTATTGGGACATTTCTGCCACCTACTGGCATAATGTGGGTACTACAACTTTTGCATTAAAATATTTAGATGAATAAATTAATTCATACATATACCGTTTTTTTTTATTGTAACTACTTAAAATGTTTAGAGTAGTAAAGTAACTAAGTCCAAATACTTTTTTACTGTACTTAAGTTGAATTTTTGGGGATCCACCAAAAATATGCTTTTAAAAATCACATATTTTGTCATTAAATCTCTATCCGCATGTTGTCAGGAGGCGCAAACTCAGCAGAAAATCTCCTGTTCATAAAAATATCTAGAGTAGATGGAGACCAGTGTTTCCAGTCACTCACCCTGTCCTTTTTCTGCAGCATCTGTGGATTGAGCTTTCTGAACAGCTGAATCAGTCCTCTGGCTGACATCATTACATCTGGGAGAAAAAAAAAACAGTTAGTAAATATCAACATAAGTCAAAACTCAGTATAAACCAAGACAAAGGTTATTCTCTCACTTTTGTCTTTGTGGATTTTGTACTGGGCTAAATCCTGCAGCAGGTCTTCAGTGATAGCAAGCGGACAACGGGATACCACTTCTTTGATGGCATTAATACTAAAGAGCAAAATAACAACAAAAAACAACTATGGTAGGTACACAAATTCAAACACTCTCATATTTTAACAATAACTGCGCAGCAGACATGCCATCTCCTTACCCGACAGTCATGACCTCCCCAGAGTTCCTGTCAGTCACAAAGTTGTTGGCGATGGTCATGACCATAGGTTCAATTATCTGTGGTGTAAAAAGAACCAACAGAGTCACACAGCTGTGTCGAATGGCCTGGTTTACAGAGTGATTGTGTAACGGACCTCAGGAGGGACGAGCTGGTGGGAGGCCTGAGCGGCACACAGGAGAATCTTTGTCACGTCTGCAGAAAAGAAGCAGCACGATTAAAAAACAAAACAAAACAAAAAATCAACAGTTTCACCTCACTGTGAGAAAGCCTCACCTCTCTGATGAGGCTGCAGAAACCTCTGGATGAAGGGATAGAAATTAAAGAGGAAAAGCTGCAGAGAAAAAAAAAAAAGAAAAACACTCAATTTCTATCAGTAACTCCTCGAAGGTAGAGCCAGGCAGAAAGGAACAACGATTTCATTCATTTTGTCAGCACTAACCTCGTGGATTCCAACCAGGCGAGAAATGAGCTCCATCATCATTATCTTCACCTCGAACCGCTCCTTCGAGCTCTCCAGCTGCTTCAAGAGCTTCTCTGAAAAATCTGAACAAGGACAGGTGCGTGACGCTTCACCCGGAGCAGGAACGAGCGTTCTTTGAACTGCAGTGGATGTGAAGCAGGTGAGTTTACCTTGGGGGTCATGGATGAGGTGGATGGCAGAGAAGTTGAACACTTCTGCTTTGTTCTTCTTCTTGTGTTTCTGCCAAGAAAACATAAAAGGAATTTAGGATTTCAAAAACTACGAATATGAAACCCGCCCAGGTACAGTTGACCACAGTGGTACCTTGAGGACTTTCATGGCCTTTTCCAGTTTCTTCTTGTTTTTGGAGGTTTTCTTGCCTGTGGCGAATCTCACCATCAGGTCTCTTGTTGATGGTCCCTCATTCTGAAAAATAAGATCATTTCTTATAAACAGGGTTCGACAAAAATCCTATTGTGTGCAATGTTCGCCCAAAGACACGACTGAGAGGGCTGGAACGGGGGATCGAACCAGCAACCCTCTAATTACAGGATGACTCTGATTTAGCCAATATTAATAGTTATCAGCTAAACGCCACAATTAATCCAGATAATTTTTTTTTACCAATATCGCCCTACTTGTAACTAGAAACTGGACTCAACAGCAGCTGTTGAATCTCCTGAACTCAGCCCCTTCATGAGATCCACATTAGCTTCAAACAAACTCTTATTTTACATCAAAATCATTTTAGTTCTGGTTCTCACCTCAGATTCTGAATCACTCTCATTTTTTTCATCTTCATCTTTACCAAGAAAGAACTTCATGCCTGCAACAAGAATCTAAACCAAAAATCAAGTGACAGATATGGATACATTTTTCTCCTTCTCCTAAATAAATAAATAAATAAAAGTTGCTTTTTAACACAGTATAAATAAAAAGATAAAAGTCATACCTTTGTCACCTTTGAGAAGCATGCTGTTGTAATGACATTAACTGTTTTAGCATCGTTCCTGAACAAAGAAAATCAATCCAGTCTGAGTTTAAATCAATAACATGAAAATTATTATATTTTTAAACTATGTGTTTTCTTTATTACTCACCATATGTTTCTTTTGTAAAGCTCCTCCATCACATCCAAGGAGATCTTTGCTGCGATGGGATTACTGTCTCTCAGCATGGTGTACATGAAGTTCTGCAAAGTCTGCAGCACATTTTTTACACAAATGAATGTCTGGGACTTTTGCATGCCAGATGATCGCAAAGGCAAAACAGATGTGGCGAACTTACTGTGTTGACCTTGTTGTTCTTGTGTTTTGCATTGATGTTTTTGATATCTGCTACAATGTGTGTGTACAGAGTCTGAAGAGGGGACACAAAAGCAAATGAAGACGCTCTGAAATGTAGAATTTCAGGATGCAAATACACAAAAGACCAACACCTACATAAACATGGACTTATGAGCTGACTACTAATAGTCCTGCTTAAACCTACAGTACCTACAGAAACAGTCAGTCTTCTTCAAGACTTTTATGAAAACATCTTGAAGAAGACTGACTGTGTTTCTGTAGCTTTTTGAAGACAGATTGTTCTGACCTTCCTGAGCAGTTTGTCGTGACATCGAAGCAGCTCAAAGAAGAGCTCCAGGAGCCCAGCGGGGTCGATCAGGTTCTTATTCCTTAGAAGAATCAACGCTTTACAGAAGGTCTGTCAACAACAGATAAACCCCTGTTATACATGTCAAACTACTGTGACAAAAGCAGTAGAAGTGTGTTTTATAAGTCCCAAATCTTCTCACCATCCGTAGATCTGACTCCAGAATTGTGTGGTAATTCATCAGCAACTCAGACAGCTCCCTGGGAAATGTAGACAGCTGCTGGGTGTAGCAGTGACCAACCTGAGGAGCAGGAAACAGATTTCAACACACACAACAAAGTCAGTAGCTCTCAGGAACAGCCTGATGTCCTAACCTGAGCCAGAAACATGACAAGATCCGCCAGCTCCTTGTTGGGTTTGTCAGGCTGCAGTTTGAAGATCTCTACATTGGACTGATAATGTCGGTGCTGCTGGAGAAACTGTTCAGAACACGGGAGACACAAACCGTAAGAAAAAAAAAGTTTTAAAAAACTGTCCCACAAGCTGAGCCAGCTAACAACATTTAGCATGTTTGCTAACACTAACCTCATCCACATATGACTGCGGGTCTCTTTTGATCAGGTTCTGAAGCTGCGGTAAATTGTTCGGTAGTTTGTTGTTCTGTCTGCCAGGCATAGCGACAGGTTATGAGGAGAAAATGTTACAAAAATAGGAGGAAAACTAGATTTAAAAGCGAAGCGTGGCAAGTCAGTGCGCTGCCATTAAACAGACGGGAGATGTTACGTCACTTCCGCCACTGGCTAGTGTAATTTCCGCTTTTGATGAGTGAAAAATAAAATAAAATACTTGGCCCTAATACTCCGTCTTAGTCATACATAATAAAACAGAATTTGACTATTTTCTCACAGTGAGGAGTATTTATGTTGGTTGGTTTGATTCCTGTCAAAGTCTGCGTTAGAGGATTAGGGCCACATGGGAAAAAATAATTCCAGTAGTGGGCACAGTTCCCCTAAAGCACTAAAAGGGAAACTAATTTCCTGATTAGTGCTTTAGGGCTTTTACTAATTTTAAAATTTATTAGTGGATTAGCACTTGCTAAATTTAAAGGCTAAATTTAGGAGCAGTGATGGTCGGTTTGATTCCTGTCGAAGTGTACGGAAGAGGATTAGGGCTACTGATTTTTTTTTTTTTTTTTACATTTATCTCAGAATTCTGTTTTTTCTCAAAATTCAGACTTTTCCCTCAGAATTCTGAGATAAAAGACAGAATTTTGGGATTAAAGTCAGAATTATTTATTTATTCAGTGGCCCTAATCCTCTTCTGTAACAGCTGCTTTAATATTTTACACTTTTTTTTTCTTTAGTGAGATTTGCAGCAGTAAAAATCAAACACTTCAGTGGAATTTAGGCAGATAAAAATATAACATTCATCTTTTTCTGTTACTAATTCTTTTTACTCACTCATATTTCACAGGTTAAGTACACTATAATATAGACAGCTCTTTAAAAGGGACACTTTTCTGAACAAAAAAATCACTAGTTCTGCATCTGATGAATGAAATTTTGTACTCATCAGCAGAACCATTTAGTTGTTTTAATTTAGCACAGTCAACAGAAATACGTTAATTTAACTAAAGTTTACAGCTGGCTAGTATTCCCAAGTAGTACTATAAAATATATGGTAACACATTTATGGTTTAATAAGATTTGGAGACACTCAGTGGTGAAACTGGTTAAGGACACGTTATCTCTGCTATGGACCTCTGGCAGTCTGTTAAAATGTTTCTGTATTCATTTAGGGGTTAAATTCTTCTCATTGTATGCAGATACAGTCAGTGAATATCTTTACAATCAAAGAATAAAACACACGGAAAGAGTCATGAAATCCTTCTGTTTTTGACCCGAAATCATTTATTGTGTAAAATTATGGTCAAAAAAATAACACTTTAAGAAAGAACAAAATACATCCTCTACATAACATTCAAAATGTATCCAGTTTAATTTTCAGGAGATGAATATGTACAATTTAAACTTTATTTTTTGCCTCAGGCAGTATTATCAATTACTGTATAAAAGAGTTTTTACATAGCAAATACTGACATAGTATTTTGTCAAAGCAAGTTCCAGCATCAAAATACACAAAAACAGTTCCACATAAAATATATGGAATCAAAGATCATTTTAAAAAATATATATATTAAAAAAAAATCTTAGTATTCACTTGTGTGTAACAAGAAGTAAAATCAGCAGCTTTCATAAATGCACAGAAAGGGAGCAGCAGCCAGAGAAAACTTTAAAAGCAAATGTAAAAAATATAAACGCCTCAAAAGCGTTTCTTCTTATCCAAATAGCATTAGAGAAAAATTTGGCAATATTTTGCCTGTATCAACCTTTGTTCTACTTTGCTCTTGTTAAAAAAAAGGCCTTTAATGGCGAGCAGACTGTTTTTTTATGATCCGGAGATGTTTTCTTCTGCTTGAAGGCATCTGAGGACGTAGAGAATCACTTGATAGCAGAAGATATATTGTTCCTGTTAAAACAGAAGAGGAACAAATACATGAGAGTTAAACAGAAGGATTTGTTTAAACACTCTGGGTGACCTGATTAAAACTCACCTCTGTTTGGATCATTCCATGTCTCTGGAGTCTCATGTTTCTTACAATATCTGAAATATCAAACTAAAAAAAAAACACTTGTTAAATTCAAGTGTTAAAAAGAAAACTTCAGCCAAACATGCTAAAATGTTTTCACGCTTACATCTACATCTTTACTGATGAGGCCCAGAACCACATCTAAACAAATGAGGGCCCCCGAGCGTCCGATCCCTGCGCTGCAGTGCGTGATGATCGGCCCTGATCGGTGAATGTGTCGCATGAAGGAGATAAACGTGAGCAGATGCTCGGGTTGGGAGGGCGTCCCGTGGTCAGGCCATCCAGTGTAGTTCAGGTGAGTTACGAGGCGACTTTCATTAGTCTGAAAACAGAAAAAAAACTTGTTAACGGACTGATTTGATGCAAAGAAGATGAGGAGTTTGAGCTAGGATCAAAAGGTTCACCTGGACGTCTTTAACCTCGATGAGCCGGATGATGAAGTGCTCCAGGTGCTGGTCTTTAACTACTGTAATCTGTAATCTAGTGTCCACCATCTCTGCTGTCTGGGGCGTGTCGGGCCAGTACCGCTGACATTTCACTTTGCCCCCCTCCACCTCCTGGGTCATCATGGCGATCACGTCAGATTTCTGCTCCCAGACCATCTGCCAGAAGTCCCCCAGGGTTGTGGGCAAGGGTCCCTGACAGGCGATGTACAGGAAGTTCTCGTCCTTCACTGGCATGCTTATGAAGTTGGCGTTGATGTAACCTCGGTCTTTACCGAGCATTACACGAGTTGTATCGACTAGAAGAAAAAAAAATACAAATATATTAATAACTGACCAATAAAAACAAAACATTGCCCATGTGGAAAAAAACAAACAAAAAAAATTGTGTAGCTGTTTTTACAGGGAATAATGTTCTTGTAGCGGTTCTTCTTCTTGTTCTCTTTAGTCTGACCGATCAGGCAGTCATCCAGAGGCTGGAGATTCTGAAGATTCTGACAAGGAGGAAAACAGATTTTCATTCCTTTAAAAATAAATTCAAATCAATAAACTCTGTAAATATGTTTTTGGCTATTTAAAGCAACATTTAAAAACTTTTACTTTAGTCTAGTTGGTACATAACTTAAAAAATAGGGCCAAAATATGAGAACCTCTCATCCAAAAACTAATTTAATACAGACTCTGAACTCTTGTTTCCTGTTTTAAATCAAGAAAAAAATATAAACTCTCTCTGAAAAGCCCCTTTAGCAGGAAAACATCTGTTAAATTGAACTTTATGAGGATTGAATTTTAGAGTTTTACTTCAAATTCTTGCAGTGGGACTTTCTGCTCCAGAAGTCCCCTCATCATGCGGACCACCGAGTTGAGCTTTGATCCTGAATACTGGCCATGAGGGACCACTCTGACGAGGGGCAAAGAGGTCAACTGGTCCTTCGTGACAATTGGTCCGCCTGTGGGCACAAAGCAAATCTCTTCTCAAACATTTATCTTTTTAACATTTAATCTTTCAAGATTCTTCAAAAATCATCTTTTACAGTGGTGGACACAGCTAAGTTAGCTTCACTAGCCTCTAATCTGCTAAACGAGACTCTTTAGTTCTGCTAAAACCCTAAACACATTAAAAATTAGGGGAAGCTAATGATAAATGCTAACACGTCTGTCACTCAATCGGTGTCAAAAATCTTCATCTCCTTCCAGTTAAAAACGTGTGGGTTTTACACAACAGCTCATTTTTAAAGATTGTGGGAGTGTAAAACCCTGTGTCTCTCTGTGCATAAAACAAATTGTATAAATGTTTCAGTCTGGAATGTAAGGAAGAATATTTGTATTCTGAGTTCGGATTTTAATCTCAGATCTCTGAGGGAAAAAATGTCAGGAAAAATACTTTTTTTTTTGCTCTGTGGTCCCAATCCTCTTGTAGGAGTAGTTAGTGTGTTGTGTAAAAATAATAAAAGCTTCTAAAATGAGATTTGGAGTAAACAGTAAAGGTTTTACTAGAGTTTTGTAAAATGTAGAGTATCATTAAATATGCCACAGGTACAAAAATCAAAAAGTCATTTCCAATTATTCTACTTCAGATTAAAAGCATTTCTTGGACTGTTTGTATTTTTATAAATACCATTTGAAAGTGGTCAAACAACAAATAGTTCCTCTTCCATACAAAGTGAATTTTTACAGGTGCTGGTCATAAAATTAGAATATCATGAAAAAGTAGATTTATTTCAGTA